TCCTCCGGTGCCTCGCACTCTTCGTCGTCAGGCCCGTCGTTGTCCGACACCAGCTCCTCGTCGACCTCAGCGCCGTCCTCGAAGAGGGTGCCCTCGGCCCCTCCATGGTCTCCATCGTCCTGGTCGTCTGCTTCATCTTCGTCATGCTGCGCCTCCTCGAGGTCGCCGTGGTGTTCATCGTAGTCTTCGCCGTTCTCTACCTCGTGTACGTGCTGGCCAGGGCGTCCTCGCAGCACGCATGGCCTACGAGCCATGGGAGGGTGCGGATAGCGACCGCCCGAACTCCCAGAGGAGCGCCCGTGCTCACGCTGCGCCGCAAACGGCGAGCGGCGAGGGAGCACTGAGCGCTTCTCGGTGTCGTGCACCTTCGAATAGGCTGCCTTCAGCACAACCTCCATCCGCTTCGAGTCGTAGATGCCGCCACAGTTGAAGAGCACCTGCGCTCGCTCCTTCTGCGACAGTCCAGCGCCACGAAGCATCTTGCTTGCCAATGCGCGATCGCTGATCGCTGATGTGGGATCCTCGAGCTGCAACTCCATGCGCTTCTTGCGCAGGTACGTGGTCCAATCCATGATCGGCTGCCCAGCTCGACGGTGTGCTCGCTCCCAATCCTGATGCACCTGATCGAGGCGCTCGTGATCCATCTTCTCGAAGGCGTCGTCGTAGATAGCAAAGATGGTCTCGAGCGTCTCCTCGCGTCGGAGGTCCGACGCGTCAAGCACCTCGATGAGCTCTTTGGCTCGACCTGTCACTTGACTGCAGATGATCAGGCCCAGCTCCACGTCTGAGAGCTGATTGAGGTTGCGGATGACTTCAACCCCCTTGCGCTACTCTCGGTACTTCTTAGTACTCGTACCGACTCCACCATCGAACTCTGGGAGCCTCACCTGCGACAGCAGTAGACGTGTACGTCTGGGACCGCCGTCACCACGATCCCGATGCAAGGCCAAGAGCTCCCGCTGGGTCTCGGCCATCACGCGCAGGACTGCATGCAGGTCCTGGGGACCTGTGCCTGCGGAGGACGCAGCCTCCACGTCTGAGCCGTCGTGGCTGGTGGCCATGGCGGCCCACGCGGGTGGTCACAACCACCGAAGCAGAGCACGCAGTGCGTCCGCTGGAGCTTACTAGCTCCGCTACCAATGTCAGTGCAGTTGTTTTCAGCAAAGACCGCGCGGCAGTCCAACTGCGGGTGCGTCCCAAGGGCCCTAGGACTAGGGCCAAAACAGCGGCGGGCAGCGCGCATGCCACAAAACAAGACAAGCGTGTACAACATACACACATGGTGGCACGGGCGGCAGAGGGGCAGGGGAGTGCACTCTTCACACCATCACCACCACCATCTGAGCACTGAGCACGGAGCACTGAGCACTCCCGCACATGTGCTCCGTCTAGGGTGCTGCGGGTGTGGCACCTTAGCGCCAGAGCTCTAGACAGGTCGCGTGGCTCACTCGTTTCTCGTATGTGATGCGCTGTATATTTAGATTACATGATATCCTAATGTTTTGCTGATGCGATACTTCATCTCTCCGAGCTGCAATTACGCTCTCCCCTCAGGAACCCAACAGATCGCCTCTTGGGCCCCTTTTGGGGCGCCCTTGGAGCGCTCTTGGGCGCCCTTGGGGCTCTCTTGGGCCTTTCGTGGGGCCCTCAGGGTCCCTCTTGGCGCTGGCTCGAGGCCGTGGGACGGCCATCGGAAGCGAAGAGGCGAGCAGGCAGACCCGCCACACTCCAGCAGCTGAGAGTATCGTTTGCCCGCTCCCCGTCCCAAAGGGCGTGGCATGGGCCCCACTGGCCGATGGACACCCCTCGATGGGGACATGGGCTGATCCCCTCGAGTTTCGGCGGGCACATCCCCAGCTGGGATGGTGGGATGGTGGGGATCGGAATGGGGGTGGAGATGGGGCTAGGGATCGGTTCAACGATGTTGAGCAGCACCATCGGCATCGACAGAAGCAGCGCCACCGCAACGACAGTCGCGGCTCCTCGCGCGCCACGGCCAGCTGGGCCTGCGCCTGGCAGGTTGCGATGGCGCAGGGGGGCGGGGGGGGAGAGGGGGATCCTCCTCCTCCTCCTCCCCCTCCTCCCCCTCCTCCTCCTCCTCATCCTACCGCCTCCTCCGCCGCCTCGTCCTCCTCCTCCTCCTCCTCCTCCTCCTCCTCCTCCTCCTCCGCCTCCTCCGCCTCCCATCCGCTCCGCATCCTCCTCCTCCGTCCATCATCCTCCTCCTCCTCCTACTCCTCCTCCTCCTCCTCCTCCTCCTCCGCCTCCCTCCGCCCTCCGCCTCCTCCTCCTCGTTTCTCTCCTCCTCCTCCTCCTCCTCCTCCTCCTCCTCCTCCTCCTCCTCCTCCTCCTCCTCCTCCTCCTCCTCCTCCTCCGCCTCCTCGGGAGGGGGGGAAGCTCTTCTGAGGGCGCGAGTGGCGGAAGCAGACGAAATGTGGCTGAGGTCGTTGTAGGGGGTGGTTCGAGTCTGTTCACGAGGTGTTGTGGGTGTTAGGCCAAGTCCCAAGAGGAGGAGAAGATTGATGGAGGAGCGGAGGATGGCAGGAGGAGGAAGGAGGGAGACGGGGGGGATGGTTCTTAGATACTCCCGGGGACTCCCTCGGCGTTGGGGGCGTCCTGGAGGTCCTGCGGGGTTCCTGGAGAGTTTGGGGAGTTTCTGAAGGCCCTGGGGGTGGAGGAGGGAGGGGAACGTCGGAAGGAGGACGGAGGAGGGAGAAAAGACGAGGGGGCCAGATCGAGAAGCATCAGGGAGCGATCGCTCAGGCTCTTGGTCACCCGCGACCCCGGCTCCTGAAAAACCCTGGAGCGGCTCAATTCGGCAAACTCCCACACACAAAGGCAGCGAATGAAAACGTTCTCACGTGACGATCTGTCAGTGATGTATGCAGGATGGTCAAATCAAATAAGTAGCATGGTGATACCAGGACTCAGCTGGGCTTCGGGGGCGCTTGGAAAAAACTGATTGAAGGCTCCTGGATGCCGTTTCGCGGAGCAGACTGGGCACCCCATTCTCTCTCCCGTGCCCACCCCTCTCCCATTTTCATTTGACCATGACTCTACCGAATCCAGCGCCCCGTTCCGCTGGTGACCGACCTCTCGCTGGTACATGGGTGCCACCCCTGAGTACGAATAGGAAAATGATAATTCAGGACCTGCCGGGCAGAGATCACTGACTATCTCTAGACCCCTGCTACATCGGGCTCTGGCCATTTAGGGCACCTTTTGGGTAACATGTCCTCCCGAATATGGCAGAGGACTGTGTTTGCGTCCTTGTCTGCGAGCTTTACGGCTTTACCCGCAGCCCAGCATCCGCACACGGTACAGGACCGCAACCCCGTGTGCTGCCGGAGGGCGTGCTCTGGGTGGTAGGCCGCGGGGATTTCTGGGCAGGGGGATCGCAAGGACTGCAGGCGCCACACTCCTGCCCCAGGTTTCCTCTGGCACTTCGCGCATCTATCTCGGCCTGTGGCCACAGGTGCTGCGTCTCTAGCCTAGCTCGTCTGACGATCTGGGCAGCCTGTTGCATGGCCCAGCGTCGCTTGGCTTTGCGGGTTTTGCTGCCCACTGAGCCGCACCAGGACAGATTCCCGGCACAGTGCATACACTTACGGGTTCTTACTTCCCTTCTGATGAGGATTTGGGCCTCTAGTCGGGGGCGCGCAAACATGGATTAGCGAATCCATGGATTTGGCGCGCGGTCGCCTAATCCATGGATCGGGGGAGGTGCCCTCCCCAAAATGCGGCCGGTGCCGCCTCGTTCGGCGGCGGGAATCCGCGATTTCCCACGGAAACGGGACCCGTCGCTAATCCACGCCCCCTTGATCCACGTTTGCGATCGCCTGACTTTCCCCCCTGCGCAGCCGTTTTGGCCCCTGCATTGCCCCCCAACCGCCGCCTCCCCCATGGGCGGCCGTTGAAGCACGAGCTCGGCAAAGATCGTGGCAGAGGTCCGATGGGCCTTGCCTGGTGTCCCGCGCGTGGGTTCGAGCAGGTGGGTCCATGTTTGCGATCGCCTGAGTTAGCCCGGCGGCCCAGGTCCCGTCCGCCACCGTCCTAGTCTTCTGGAAAAGAGCGCCCCGTCCGGTGGCCTGGCGACCCCGCTCCCGTCCGTCGCCGCCGCCCCGCTGAACCCGCCCCCCAAAACCCAGTGGCACCCCATCCCCTTCGCATCGCAAGCATTGCATTGCATTGCATTGCAGTGCAGTGCATTGCGTTGCATTTCGTTGCGCTGCTTTGCACTGCGCTGCTTTGCATTGCGCATTGCGTTGCTTTTCACTGCGTTGTCACGCTTTGCATTGCGCTGCAATGCGTTGTATCGCAGGACATTGCTTTGCATTGCATTGCTTTGCATTGCGTACATTGCGTGTCATTGCTTTGCACCGCTTTGCTTTGCGTTGCATCGCGTTGCATTGCGATGCATTGCGTTACATTGGTTTGAGTGATGTTGCATTGCTTTGCATTGCGTTGCATTGCGTTGCGCTACCTAAAATGCACCACATGAATTGCACCACCTAGATTGCACCACAATGATTGCACCACAATTATTGCACCCTTAAATTGCTGGTTGCCATATTATTGTAAAGCACATGAATCGCTGCTTTGAGCAAGCAGCGGCTGACATTCCAGGTCTCCTGATCCAGAGGCCTATCCAGCTGCTGGCCTCTAGGTCGGCGAGCTCGTGTGCCCGCTCGTTGAGGCGGAACATAGAGCTGCCCTCTCTGTCAGTGGGCGCTGACCCCTGGTGCGACTTTACATTAAGCACTCTGAGGGTTCCTTGGCGAACAGCTGACTGGGACAACGGGCGATGCCACAAAATGCGCGTGACTAGTGGGCTCTGTGCCAGCTCATTGATCCCCCTCGATCTTCGTCCTCGATCTTCCTTCCTCCTCCCTCATGCGACCTCCTCCTCCTCCTCCTCCTCCTCCTCCGTCCTCACTCCTCGTCCTCCCTCCTCCGTCCTCACTCCTCGTCCTCCGTCCTCCTCCTCCTCCTCCTCCTGCGGTGCTCGCCTCGGCGAGCGCGGAGGCGGTCGCACGGTATGCGGCATCCGGGGTGGGGTCGCACGGCACCTGGGGGGATGTTGGGCAAGCGCCCGTCGACGTCGTCGCTGCTCCCTGCACAGCCGCCGCCTCCTCTTTCAGAAGGAGGGCGGAGGAGAAGAGGCAGAGGAGGAGGGGGGGAGGGAAGACAGGGAGGTCGGCGCACGCCGTGCGTGCGCGCAAGTACTGCACAGATATTGGAGAGGTTGCCAGAACTAAGCAAGGACACTTCTCTTGCACGACAGTCCTAGAGCCTCTTCCAACTCCTCCCCCTTCGCCTTCCCCCTCCCCTCCTCCTCCTCCTCCTCCTCCTCCTCCTCCTCCTCCACCTCTTCCGTAGCCATCTTGGCTCCAGCCTCAATGCTTGGGGGGCTCTCTGCCCCCGGGCGTGAGCTGCCGTAGCTCTGCTTCCCGAGCTTGCTTCGAAGAGACTTCGGGGGAGCCGTCACCTGGCGCCCGTGCGGCAGCCACGGGGCCTGGCCAGACGGCGCGGCAGCGCGCGGCCTGCACCTCGCGCAAGAGCTGCGGCTGCGCGTGGACCTTCGCGAAGAACGACCGGCGCCACTTGCCTTAAGTCGGGCATGTCCCCCTAGAGGGATTTTGGGCGAAAAAAATACCCCTCGACTGGGCAAAACTAGTCAGAAAATAGTCCCATGCCTATTTTTTGACAATTTTTGTATTTTCCCCCCTGTATGTAGAGGGACAGGCCCGACTTAAAACTTGCGCGGCTGCCTGCTCGAGCCGCCGCAGGCGGACGCGCCGCCTCCCCGTGGAGTTTGGGCGGATGGCGCGGGCGCGGCTTCGGGCGCCAAGGATGCTGGCGCCGCTGCGGGCACCGGGGGCAAGCGCTCGGTCCGGGGGGGGGGAGCGGCCTGGTCATAGCAGGGGGCACCCGGGGGGGGGAACAGGTCATAGCCGTCGGACTCGAGTGGACAGGACACGCGAGAGGACACAAGAGCCTTCCGAGGGCCACATTGCCACAGGAATGTAGGAATCATGGGTCGCGAGACACAGGATACAAGGGTACCCTCGATTTGGCAGGGTCGACCTACTAATCTGGGCCGACTGCAGCCGTCGTCGGCGTCGTCGTCGTCGTGGAGGCGGCGAGCGACAGTAATCTCCAGGCCCTGGCGGCGGCCGCGGCCTCGGGCCGCCGCCCGAGGCGCCGCCCGAGGGCACGCCCTCGCAGCGCCTGCAGTCCGCCACCGCGCCGTCCGGACGGTGGGGCGCTCGCGGTGCAGGCACTGCAGGCTCGAGCAGCAGCTCGCGGAGGCGCGCGCCGAGCTGCATGCCGCCTGCCTCGCTGTGGCTCTGGCTCGGGGGGAGCGGGCGGCCGTGCGGGCGGCCGTGCGGGCCCGGCTCGCTGAGCCCGCAGTTCGGCCCGCGGCGGCGAGCACGCTGGTGCGGGAGGCGGCCGCGCTCGATGACCTCGAGCTCGTCGAGCCCGAGGCCAGGGCCACGCAGCGGCTCTCGGGGCGGGGAGGCGGTCTCTCCGGGCGCCGCCGCCTCGCGGCGAGCTCGCGGGAGAGCACGCTGCCGAGCCCGCAGTGTCGTGGCGTCACGCCCGTCACGTTGCACCTGCAGCGCGGGAACGTCGCGGTCATGCCGACGCACACGTTCCCTGGCGAGGGTGCCAGCACAGCCCGGCTGCGATCGTTGGGCCGCTTCGCCCGCTACGCTGGCGGACCCCTGGATCATCGCCGGAGACAGGAACGTCGGTGCGGCCCAGCTGGGGGCCAAGCGGTCCCTCCAGCTCCTCGATGGCGTGGTCAAAGTGCCCGACGTGGAGATCACGTGCACGGCATGGGCTGGTTTCGCTAGGGCCGGTTTCGCCGACGACTGGTTTCGCCGGGGCTGGTTTCGCCAGCGGCTGGTTTTCTCCGGCAGCTCGCTGACGGCTGGCTTCGCCGGGGCTACGGCTGGTTTCGCTGGGGATGGTGTCGCCGACGGCTGGTTTCGCCGGGGCGATGAACGGCGTCATCGTCGTCGTCGTCGGCGTCGTCGCCGTCGTCGCCGTCGTCGTCGTCGTCGTCCTCGTCGTCGTCGTCGTCCGCGGCGGTATCGGCGTTGTCGGCGTCGTCGGCGCCGCCGTCGTCGTCGTCCTCGTCGTCGTCGTCGTCGGCGGCGCCGGTATCGGCGTCGTCGGCGTCGTCGGCGTCGTCGTCGTCGTCGGCGTCGTCGTCGTCGCCGCCGTCGTCGTCGTCGGCGTCGTCGGCGTCGCCGTCGTCGACGGCGTCGGCGTCGTCGGCGGCGTCGTCGTCGCCCCCGCCGCCTTCGTCGTCGTCGTCGGAGTCGTCGGCGTTGTCGTCATCGCTGGCGGCAGCGTTGGCGGCGTCGGAATAGTCGGCGTTGTCGTCGTCGACGACGACGACGATCACCACCACAACTGCGACGACGACGACGAAGCCGCCGACGACAACGACGACGATGGCGACGACGGCCGACGCCGACGCCGACGACGACGCCGACGACGACGCCGACGCCAGCGTCGACGCCGACGCCGACGCCGACGCCGACGCCGACGCCGGCGACGACGACGACGACGACAACGACGACGACGATGAAGACGACGACGACGACGACGACGACGACGACGACGGCGACGACGACGACGACGACGACGCCGACGACGACGACGACGAACGACGACGGCGGCGGGGGGCGGGTCGACGAAACCAGCTGGACGAAACCAGCGGGCGTGTCGTCAAAACCAGATGTGCGAAACAGCGTCGGCGAAACCACCCGCCGGCGAAACCCGTTGGGCGAAACCAGCCAGGCGAAACCAACGGGCGCGTCGGCGAGCAAGGCGAAACCAGCGTCGGCGAATCCAGCGGTCGGCGAAACCAGGCGGGCGAAAGCAGCCAGGCGAAACCAGCCGTCGACGAAATTAGCTGTCGCCCCCTGCACGTCGGCCAAGGCACCTCGCTGATCGACTACGCGGTGATCTAGAGGGGCTTCGAACAGTTCGTGCTTGCGCGGGCCAACGGCCATGTCCCTGGAAGACGCACGTCGGCCTCGAGCAGGAGATTGCCAGCGGCCAGTGGCACCAGGTCCTCTCGGCGCCGCAAGGGGCTCCCAGCCCGCCCGCGGCCTGCGCGCCAGCCACATGCGGACAGCAAGCGCCCCCGCCGACGGGCTGAGCAGCCAGAGCGCCGCCACGAGGGCTTGGACCCTCGGCTTCGCAAAGCCTTTGACTACCTGGCCGACGATCCCGTCGCCACGCAGCCTGTCGTGCCGACGGAGTGCACGCCTGTTCGGTCCCAGCTTCTCTCGTATCCGGCGCCAGCGTGTCCCTGGAAAGCCTTTTCCGGAACACGCCTAACGCACCGCAGTCAAGGGTACCTTCCTTCCTCCCCCCTGTTCGTTCCTGCGCGCGCAAGCTGGCAGGAGTGAGGGCCGTACCTTAACTGTTTTTGCCCAGGCCAGTCTGAAGAGCGGCGAGACCGACGAAAGCTCGCACGCGCCACTGCCAAAAAACATATACCACTCCATAGAAATCACACGTTTGAGATTGTCGAGAGAACGCGTTTCACGGGCGCTTGCCTTGGGAACATTCGGCGGCGCGTTTCGAACCGGGGGGGTCCCCCCCCCAACACTCGGCGCCGTCGATCAAAACCAGAGGGACCCCCCTCCCCCCCAACCCCCCCCCCCACACACCCCCTACCAGGGCGGGGGGGGTCAAACACCCCTCCCCCCGGCGCCGGCGCCGGCGGCCGCCAGCAGCGCCGACGGCGGGGACGCAACGACCATGACCAGAGGCAGCCCCAGGGGGGGGAGGGGGGGAGGGGGTTTCAACCCCCCCCCCCCTAGCGCCGAAAGGGGCGAGGGTTTTAACCCCGCGCAGGCGCCAGCGCTGGCGGCGGCCAGCAGCGCCGGCGCTGGCGCCAGCGACGGCGGGGACGCAGCGACGATAACCACCACTACCACCACCACCACCACCACCACCACTACCACCACCACCACCGCCTCAACCCACCACCACCACCACCACCAACCCACCACACAACCACCACCACCACAGCCACCACCACCACAACCACCACCAACACAACTCACCATCACCACCACCACCCCAAACCCCATCACCACTACCACCACCACCACCACCACAATCAACCACGCCACCACCACCACCGCCACAACCACCACACTACCAGCAGCACAACCCACCACCATTACAAACCACCACGCAACCACCACCGCCGCCACCACCACCAGCACCACACCACCACCTCCACAACCACCCACCACCACACACCGACCACCCCACCACCACAAACCACACACCACAAACCACCACCACCACCACAACCCACCACAACCAACCACCACCAAAACCACCAAACCCCACCACACACCACCACACACACCACCACCACCACCCACCACCACAACTACCACCACCACCACCACCAAAAACAACCCACCACCACCCCACCACCACACCGCCACCACCACCACCGCCACCACCACCACCACAACCCACCACCACCACCACCGCCATCGTCGTCCTCGTCGACGCTCCCCGCCGCCGCCGCCCGCCGCCGCAGGCGCCAGCGCTGGCCCAGAAAAGGAAATCGTCGTCCCCGCCGCCGCCGCCGCCAGCCGAGGCGAGGGAGAGAGGAAAGGTAGGGGGGGGGGCTTCGAACCCGGGGGGGGGGGTCCGGTTCCAACCCCCCCCTTCCAAGCGACCACAGAACGCGCTCTTTCAAATTGTCAAAGTTTGTATTGTGAGGCTGCGGAGGCCTCCGTGCGCGCTCGCGCGCCGCTGCCCGCCGGCGCGCCTACGGCGACGTCCCGGACGGCGACGGCCCAGGGCGCATCTCCGGACGGGACGCCGCGAGGGTCCGCACGGTGGAGGAGGCCGTGCTCCGGGCCGAGAGGGCCGACGACTCCGCGCGTCGCCGCTGCCGAGGGCGAGCGGCGGTCCCGAGCTTGGTCTGGGCGCGCCATCGCCCGGCCGCGCCCACACGCGCTCCCCTGTCGCGGAGGGGCGGTGGGCGCTGGAGCCACTCGTCGTGAAGCTCCTCGCCCTCGAGCGTCACGGCGAGCTGCAGCAGGACACCGCCATCGTGACCACCGACCGCGTGGCGGACGAGGGCATGGGCCGGCTGCGCGAGCACATCCTTGGGAGGAAGGCGGCCTCCGAGGTGATCGAGCAGACCCAGGCCCAACGCCGACATGGAGGATCTCGAGCTGGTTGCACAGCAGACGCAGGAGTTGGCACGGCGGGCTTTTGCCCGCAGTCTGGCGGCGGCAGGGCAGGCTTTCGCCCGCTGGGCTCAGGAGCTCCACAACCGCCCCCTCCCCCTCCTCCTCCTCCTCCTCCTCCTCCTCCTCCTCGTCCTCCTCCTCCTCCTCCTCCATTCCATTCCATTTCCTTATCCGCCACCGTGCCGCTGGGCACGGAGTGGGCGTATCCTCAGGTCCTCTGCCTAATCCTCTGAGCCCCACTCCACACTCCTGAAGATTGTTGAAGGGACCCGGACCCCTCGCTCTCAAATCTCCCAATGCTTGACGCGTGCCCCCTGGGCTCCGGGAAGTGCTGTCGTATGAAGTGTTCGGGCCCAAGAGGGCCCCAAGACGGTCCGAGAGGGCCCCGAGTCGCCGAACGATCGCTCCAAAACTAAGAGGCCCCCAGGAGGCCCCAAGAGGCGCCCAGGCCCCAAAGAGGCCCACTAGTGGCCCCAAGAGGCCCAAAAGAGGCCCAAAAGAGGCCCAACAGAGGCCCCAAAAAAGCTCCCAAGAGGCGTCCAAACTACCTGCAAGAGGCCCCCGAGAAGCCTCCCACGAGACGAGATCCCAACGAACATCCAATACGCTTTACCCACAACCCGAGCACGGTGGCGGGATGGGCCGGAGGCCATTCGATAAATAACTCCTCCCTGTCGCACACCGAGGCCAGTCGAAAGGGCGGACCAGGCTTCGCCTGAGGTTTCCTCACCACTCATGACCCTGAAGCTTAGAAACTGGCAACAGTTTCACGGATTGAGGGCGGGTGGTTTTCAAAATGTGGCTCTCGCCTTAGCGCCGCGCACACTCGTCTTAAACAGTTGCAAGAGCTTCAAGGATTGAGGGCAAATCGTTTGCAAAATGTGGCTCTTGCCTTAGCGCCGCGAACATCCGTCTCAAACATTTTGCAAGAGCATCACGGATTGAGGGCAGGTGGTTTTCCAAACGTGGCTGTCGCCTTATCGCCGCGGACATTCGTGTTAAACATTTACAATAGTTTCACGGATCGAATGCAGCTCCTTTTCAAAATGTGGCTCTCGCCTTGGCGAAAAAAAAGCTCAATGATTGAATGCGGCTTCTTTTCAAAATGTGGCTCTCGTTCTAGCGCCGCGCACACTCGTCTTAAACATTGCCAGAAGTTTCACGGATTCCCTACCAGAAGTTGTGCTTTGGACGGACTCAGGATTGTGAGGGCGCAAGAATTACGTTGACTCGCGGCATTGAAGTCCCAGGACGCGCGTTCTGGCACTGTTCAGGATCGTCAAAACGCAACAGTCAGGTTGATTCGTGACATTGGAGTCTCGAGAATCGTGTTTTGGCACGGTTCAGGGTCTTCAAACGGTTCTCTCCACACAAGGCAGCTCCCTCAGTGGAAATGAACATCTGTAGGAGCCTATGGAGAGGGAGCCTGGGGGGAGGGTTTATTCCAACATCGTCGATGACTCTTGGGCTTACACTGGTCCTCCTCCTCCTCCTCCTCCTCCTCCTCCTGATCCTCCTCCTCCTCCTCCTTCTCCTCCTCCTCCTCCTCCTCCTCTGCGCCCCACCCGGGGGCGGGCCGGATGCGAGCCTGCTCGCGCAGCGCCCGCCGGGCGTCCCCATAATGCTGCAGCGCGGCGACCACCCGCTTCTGCACGCGCACGCCGCCGCCGCCGCCGCCGTCGCCGTCGCCGTCGCCGTCGTCGTGGCCGTGGCCGTGGCCGTGGTCGTGGCCGTGGCCGTGGCCGTCGCAGTCGCCGTCGCCGCCGCAGCCGCCGTCTTTGGGGGCCCTTGGACTCTTGTGCGGGTCTTCTGCAGGTTCTCGTCGCCACGGCTGGAGCTGGACGCAGCTCGACCAGAAAGAACCGACTCCTCGCGGGTGTTTTGCTGGACGACGACTGTGTCGGAGAGTGCGGGGGAGCGGTTCCCCACTGCCTGTCCCTTTCCCCCTCCTCTTCATAGGTCAAGAAATCCAACCCCCCATAACAGCCATCCCGACACGCGATGTCGTTGAGCAAACGCGCCTAACGAAGGAATCGAACAGGGCAGGGCTGTTTAGTAAACGCCCAGGGCCGTATAGTGATTGCCAGTTATCGGGTCCTTGTGGCTTTTCCTCCCTTGACTCTTCTTGGAGGCCTGGAAATGGGCACCAACACCAACACAGGGTGTTGCCTCCACAGGGGGGAAGACGATCCTAGATTTCGGTGTTGGTGGTAATGTTTCAGCCGCCTTGGAAGCCAGAATCCTATCCCTCGGCGGAAACAGACCGCCGATATTGCTGGTGTCAACCTCTGGGCCTGCGATCTTCCCCTTCCGCCGGGCAGCACACAGCCTGCCCCGGGACCGGCGCGGCAGCCCGTCGGGCTCTGGAGCGGGGCCCCCGGGCTCCGGTTGCTCCGGGTGCCATCGCGGCGTTCCGCTGTTCCGCGCCGGCTCGAGGGGACCAGGACGTGATGCTCGCCCTTCTCTCCCCGCCCTGCTCCCCCCCGCCCGTGGGGCCGGGGGAGCGAACCACGAGCATCACGGCCGTATCTCCCCGCCCCCTGGGGCCTGGGGAGGGCCCGGGGAGAGTTGTCGAGGGGCCCGGGGACCGACTCTGCGCGGGCGCTTCGCTGGACGACGACGATGTCAGGGGGGTCCTCCCTCCCCAGAGATTCGTTTTTCGCAAATTGCGGCCCCTAGGGGCCCTCGCTGGGCCTCGGGACCGTCCCAAAAACGACCCAGGATGAAAAACCAGTCCTGGAGAATGGGTCGGGACTTCTGCGGACCCCGTAGCGAACAAAAAAAAACACGACATCGGATCTCTGGGTCCCTTTCCCCCCCGCTTCCCCCCCTGCTCCCGCCCCCCTCCTCGCTCCTCCCGCGCCGTCACGGGGGGTAAGGCCCGCGCCTGCGCGCCCACCTTCGCAGCCTGGAGCTGGGGGTCCCTGGCCCAGTGGCCTCGCGGCTGGGTGGCGGCGGGTTGCCAGTGGGACAAGCTCTGGACGCAGGGGGGACGGAGCGCGGGCCATGGACGGTGACGCCAAGGGGGAGGAGGCGGAGGAGGAGAAGGGAGAGGAGGCGGAGGAGGAGGAGGAGGAGGAGGAGGAGGAGGAGGAGGAGGAGGAGTGGGAGGAGGAGGAGGAGGAGGAGGAGGAAGAGGAGGAAGAGGAGGAGGACGAGGAGGAGGAGGAGGAGGAGGAGGAAGAGGAATAATGCTAATTGCCAGGGGCACTAGCCAGACTCTTTGAAGCGCAGGCGGTGTAGCACGATACTTCGTGGGCTTGAGGAAAAGAACGCGGGTGCAGTCCGCGGTCTGGGCGCAAGCAGGTCAGCCGAGGGTTCCGTCGCCGCTTCCCAACTCCAGCGAGGAGGAAGGGGGAGGAGGGGGAGACAGGCAGCACTAACAGTGCTGCCCTCCTCTGTGAAGCTCCAGTAGGTTTGAGGCCTGCGGGGGTACCGCGGGATCCCAGCAGCGGGTAGGTTCGGCCGTGTACACTGCGGGTTCGAGCGCCCTCGCGGCAATACGTGCCTCCCGACACGCGGCCTGGAGGCGTTGCGTGTCTGGGGCGCTGGGGACCAAGCCAGCAGCAACTTGCTCCGCACGGCGCAGAGGCAGCTCGCCTGTCCCAAGCAGCTGGCGATCAAACTTGGCCAGGGTCACGCGGCGGCGGGTGCAAGAGCCATGCGTCGCCTGCACCTCTGGGGCGGCGTACCCTGCCACGCAGTGAGCGGGGCGACCGTGCACCGCGGGCCGCCTGGACGGGGACTCGTTGGAAGATAGTCGCGGTTGATGTAGCAAGACGCTGGTGGGGACGATGGACAGCCTGAATGGCGATGACGCACAAAGTGTTGACGTCGTCGGCGTCCTCCGCTGCACCGAGGACGGCAGAGAGCTCCCGCGCCACCTGTTCCCCGAGCGTGCGCCGCCCAATCCAACGCGAGAAGGACGAGGGCAGACGGGCAAGAAGGTGGGGCATTTCGGCTGGCTCGCAGGCTGGAGAAGCAAGGGTCGAGGGACGGGGGATCCATATCTCTGTTGTTCAGAAAATATGGTCCGTCTTTTGCTGGAGACCTATATTTTGTTGCAAAAAAATGGTCCGCTTCTTCGTTGTAAAAGAAGTCTGGTCCATTTCTCCGTTGTAAAAATATGGTCCATTTCTTCGTTGTAAAAGAAATATGGTCCATTTATTTGTTTTAACAAATATGGTCCAGAGTTTGTTATCCAGCCCCCGAGGAACGACTCGGCCGCGGGCCCCAGAAAGGCCCCCCAGAGGCCTCGAGCTGCTTCCAAGAAGACCCCGAGAGGCCTCCCACGAGATCCCAACGACCATTCAATAGGCTTCACACCCACACCTCAGGCACGGTGGCGGGACGTGCCGTAGGCAGCTGGATCC